ATAAGCCCTGTTATTTCCATGGCCTTGTGTCCTGAGTGTATTACTGGCTCGCTAAAACCTTGGAAGTGTTTAATGAGATACTGCTAAGCAGAGCTGTAACCCCAAATATTTACCGAGGAATTAGTTTGTCCTGTTTCTTGAAAGAATGAACTCTTGCAAATGGAATGCTGCTGTCTGCAGGCTGATTTTAAACTTTTTCCTCTTTTGCTCCGAGGAAAAACAAGGCCTGAGTAGGAGTGCGTGACTGTGTAGTAGCTGCTCTCCCGAACACCCCAGAGCACTGCTTGCTGCGGAGTGGCTGCGTAGGCAAACGGTGCCCGCGCACCGTTGCTGCCTCCGTGTTCACCTCTGCTCCCCTGCCTGAGGTCGATGAGTGTTTAAGGCATTTCACACTTAAACTTCAGTGATGAATTGTTCTTTTCTTACAGGGCCGTGTGGTCCCGAGTTGCCCCTTCCCCCACGTCAAACCGCCCGTGCCTGGATCCTTCGCGCAGGACGCTGGGTGCGGGGCTGCTCTCCGTCCTCCCGCAGCACAGCTGCCAGCGACGCTTCCCAGCTCTCTGCTCCCAGACCCGACGGAGCGGAGCTTCCCGGGGCAGCTGCTGGTCAGGCTTTGCCTGTGGAGGGACTGTGAAGCGACAGGTGTAGTAGCCTGGGTCCTGTCAAGTGGTTGCTGCGGCTTTCGAGCTTGAAGCGTAGATCCCTGGAGGTGTGAAGCACTGCGGAGCAGAGCGAAGGCTGTCTTTGCTTGCCTCTCCTCCAAGCCTTCCCTTTTTAGGACTTAAAAAATGTTCCGGAGCAAGTTGCCCGAACAGCCTTCCTAGCAACTTCACAATTAGTGATTTGCTTCCAAAAGCAAATGTGCACTGGCTGTGGCAGCTGTTACTTAGCAAAAATCCTGGGCTGTGTGCTGGAAAATGGCAGGATTTCTGTGGACAAGGGAAAAAGAAGCTGCTCATCCCTTGGAGGACTTAATGGGGAGAAGTTAAACTTTACAAGCTCCCTCTTTGCCATGGATATTTTGCATTGGTTGTCCAGATGCAATTGTTTGATAATGATTTACTATTTATAGGTGTATATTTTTAGAGACGTGGCAAAGTCCACCTCTGGACCAAGATTTTTTGCGCATTACTAGAGTACCAAGCAGCAGAACTAAGCCCAGCATTGGTTAGCCCTTTAAGGTTATTTAATTTCTGAGCAACTTCACCTTCCGTAGTGCGTTTCCCTCTCTGTAACTTCACCTGCGCGTCAGCGCTGGGGGCACCCGACCTGGCGGTGTGGGCCTGCGCCCTGCTTGCCCGCGCGGAGGAGGAGGCATGCCACGCTGCACAGCAGGTCCTTAGCTCGGAATTGCCACGCTGCTCTGACTCACGGTCTTGTGCTGATGCATCTCGGTGTCGGTTCGTTATCTGTCGGCCAGCAGTACCTGCCAGGAATGCTTTAATTTAGCCCCGTGGTACGGCGTGTAACAGTTCCCACGTTCCTTGATTAGGGATCCATCAGGCATCTTAAAAGGCGCCTGCTGCCATCTGACAGCTTCGTTTTCCATGAGCTGTTCTGCGTTACCTCACGGCGCTGAACGCGCTGGCGTCGTCCGCTGGGCCGGGGAGGCCGAGCTGCGCGCCAGCCCCGCTGCAGAGGACTGCGCTGCTCGGAGCAGGGCACCTTCGGGAACGGGAGCGTTGGGGCTGCGCTGCACAAGCAGCGTGCCGGTTGGCGCTGAGTTTTCTGAAATGCGTGGGCTCTTTAGGGCTCAAAACCTTTGAACTCTGCCAGCAAAACGAGCAGAGTGCAGGCTGGAGTTAGTCTCTAGAGCCTGGGCAAATGCAGTTTTTTCTAGTTCTCATTTTAAAACATGAGGAAGAACTTCTTCCCTCTGAGGGTGACGGAGCCCTGGCCCAGGCTGCCCAGGGAGGCTGTGGAGTCTCCTTCTCTGGAGATATTCCAGACCCGCCTGGCCGCGGTGCTGTGCAGCTGCTCTGGGTGACCCTGCTTGGGCAGGGGGTTGGGCTGGGTGACCCCAGAGGTCCCTGCCAGCCCCGAACATTCTGTGAAAACCCGAAGTCAGTTTGTCAAGAACATTGCCCATCGACCTTGCAGAGGTGTGGGGGTGGGTGTCTCGTTCACCGTGTGAATGCAGCATCTTTGATTTTTACGCTTTGGCACGTATTCAAGCATTCTTTAAAAATCCTGAGGACTAGTAGCACAATCGGCAGTCACTCGCTATGGGAGGAGGGAGTTTTTGAATCTTGTATTCAGAAGTTCTGATCTTTTTATAGAACTTTTTATTAATCACAGTTAGAACAGTGGATAGAGTTGGCCGCCTGCCCGCTCCGCGATCTGCCGGATCTCGGAGTGTCCGAGGGGAGCGTAGCCAGTTCCTCCTGCCGGTGAGCTGGAAGATCCTCGTGGAAAGGCCCTTCTGCAGAGACTGCCTCCCACGGCGTTCCTGGCACCGCAGGTTTGCCGGTGGGCTGGAATGGATGATCCGGCTTCCTTCCAGCCTTGCCCTGGCTGGGAGGGAGCGCTGGCAGCTGCAGGCTCCGGCCCCGGGAGATGCTTTGCATTACCAACTGTTGCCGCTTCCAGTTAGCTGGGAAAGGAATTCCCCCCGTGCTGCCCACGCCCGCTCCAAGGTATCTCTGAAAGCGCTGGTGCTCGCATTGCCAGCCGCTTGCGTGTTTGCAGAGCAGGCGTGAGCAAAGGCTTCTGGCCCGCACCGTCAACAGGCCATAGGTCAAGAAGGTCCAAACATGACAAGGTTTTTTCCCAGAGCTGTTGGTGTGACAAATTCCAGTGACGAGTAGCTGTTTCTGATGAGAATGGTAGAGCCGCTCCGCGTCTTGCAGGCTGACTTCTAGGTTGTTTGCTCGGGCCGTGCTGCCAGCAAGTGCTGCTGTGTCATACCCGCCTGGAGGAAGCGGCAGGCGGGGGGCCGCCCGGGGGGAGAGG